GTGGGGTGTCGATGCAAGAGGGCGAGTAAGTGTTAGTCTCCCAGAATCATTGACTATATCAAGGAGCTAATTGATGATGTCTGGGCACTTTACATGTGTCTGAGATGATACATAAAATAAATTCAAACTTTTCAATTGTTTTGTTTTGGGTGTGAGGGATGGCCCACTCCCCCTAGAAAATTTTACAATTTTAAAACGCTATTTAGTGCTCTCTGGGCACTTTCAAAATGTATGAGTCAATTAAAAAATTGAGAAAATCACAATTTTTTCAATTTTTTAGAGGGGTGTCAAGGGGGGCGGGGTGCCAGAGGGGGAGGTGGGGAGGGGTGGGGAACCGTTTACTATATCAAGGAGCTATGTGATAATGTCTTGGCACTTGGGCACTTTAAAAGTGTCTGAGACAATACATAAAATAAATTCAGAACTTTTCCATTGCATTGAGGGGGGTGTGAAGGATGGCCCACTCCCTCTAGAAAATTTTACAATTTACAATTTTTTTTTAATTTTTTGGGGGGGGTGTCAAAGGGGGGTGCGCATCGCACCCCCCCCCCCCCATCTGACGGCCCTGAACGGGTATAGAGCGGCTATAGAGCTGGTCTTATTGTAAGTGGTTGCATCCAAGGGTCGAACTCTGAGAAGGTGATGGTATGTCTTGGATGGAGATCCTTATCCAATCGAAGAAAAGAAAAAAAAAAGTTTTTATGTTTGACTTTGTAAATAATTATAAGATGCCTTCATATGTTTCAAATGTTTTTGAACAGTATAAGAATCAGGTAAATCACCAGAGACTTCGACGTAGCAATGATTTTAAGATCCCATTCAAACATCTGCTAACTAACCCCCCTATCACACCAAACTAGTTCTTACCCGTTCTTGCCAGTCCTACGAAAACGTCGTAAAACGGGCTCAATCTAGCAATTCTTCGTTCTTAAACAGTCTTCAATACGTCCATCTCGTTCGCAGTTCGTTCAGGTCGCACCACGTCGGTGTGCAACGTCGTAGAACGCGTCCCTTAGTCTAGAAGGTCAACATGACCTGATTACAGAACGGTATGGTCGCCATCGAATTTTGAATCGATTCAAAATTCTAAAATCACATTCCCGTCTGAGAACGCTCATAAAGTTCGTAAATAGACCTTAGAAAGTTGCAGCTACGTTCATTCCGTTCGCACACAGTTTAAAACCAGTTTTGAAGAACGCAGTGGCAACTTGTTTGGTGTGATAGCTATATTTTTGCTAACTCGTTAATAAGCAGTGTACGTTCTTAATCAGTTCAAACCCGTTTGCAATTAGTTCTACCTCGTTCTCAACACGTCCTCAGACAGTTCAACTCGTTGTTAAAACGTACCTAGTAGGATTGAAGTACGACGGTTCCGTTCGTAGTACGTCCAGCTCGTCGTTAGTACGTTGTCACTCGTTCTAATTGTAGAACGTGACGACCACGAGAACATTTTGAGCATTGTCTAAGTTCTAGAGGACCTACCCGTTCGAGTACGTTCGATGAAGTTTGTAAATAGATCCCAAACGGTTCTTAGTAGGTCTAGTCCGTTCGCACACAGTTGAAACCCGTTTTCGAGAACGTAGTGAGAACTAGTTTGGTGTGATAGTAGGGTTAGGAAGTTTACAGCTTTATCCAGTATTAAATTATGGGATAATTTACCTGATGAACTGAAACAAGCACACTCACGCAACTCATTTAAGTATAAAAATAGAACATTTTTGAATGGGAAAAAGAAAGAATTCACAACCCCAAGATTAAACCTATCCAGAGATAAAGAAATTGTCTTAAATAAAACAAGATGGTGATCTCATTTTTATGCAGCATCTTTTTACACATAACTTCAAAAATATTCCAAATGCCAAATGTAAATGTGGTCACTCTACTGAATCAACCAAACACCTATTGCTCCATTGACCTCTTTTTAACATTCAAAGACTCAATTTTCACAGAGAACTAGGGGGACTGCCATCCTTTAATTTAAACTCTTATAATAATAGAAAACAGGAAGACAGGGTAGACTTTCTACTTTTTGCAGATCCTTCTCTTGACACAATTACAAATAAAAAGGCTATTGAATTAACAGCCGAATTTTTACACTCTATTGTCAAGGAAGTCAAATAGTCATGTACCAGGTCGTTCAATAAGTTCCCGGAAAAAGGCTCTCATTTTGTTAGTTTGTAGTATTTTTTATTGAAATTTTCACAGTATGTGTACAATATATTTAGAATTTATGTATAGAAATATTTGTATACAATATTTCATATTTATTAACTTATCCTTGGTAGCGTGACGTCATAAAAGGATATGCGGGGCACTATTTTGACGTTAAAATCACACAATTTTCAATTTATTCATCATATGTTCACATTTTTTGTATTTGTTTTATTTCAACTGAATAAACAGTCCTGTTGCCATGGTAACTATGTGACATCATATTACTGCTGTACAAGATGAAGGGAAGCTCTGAGGGGGATTCGCTTTGGCTCAGTTGATGATCTTAAAGCAGGTGTTCAGAATGCACGAAAGGAGAAGTTTCAAGCTGGGTTCTGTGACCAATACAAGCAATGGGTTCAGAGACAGAGGCTATGTATTCAACACGATGGTTCATATTTTGAGCATTTAATGTAGATGACAGTGGAGGACTATGTGAACATATAATCTAACAAGCATACAAAGACATCAAAGGGTGTTTAATATATCGTAAAATGTGACTAAAACGTTTAGATTTAATGATCCAAACCGTAATACTAAACAGTGCCCCGCATACCCTTTTGTGACGTCACATGATGTTGGATAACTTTAAAAACTAGTTAGACATTTTCAGATTAATTTAATACAATGATTTGAAAATAAATTGCACACATACTGTGAAAATTTCAATGAAAAATACTATAAACTAATAAAATGAGAGCGTTTTTCCGGGAACTTATTGAACGACCTTGACATATATCTCTGACCTGTCTTCACGTTTTCCCGATTATTTTCATGTTCATAAATATGTTTTATATCTATCATTTTTACATTGTGGCCTATTTTAACCTATATTGTAACTACTTTAACAGGGCCAATAATGCTTCGGCGTAGGCCTTGTATCTGTTTGTATGATGTATTATGAAATAAAGGAAATATAAAAATTAAAACAAAACAAAAAAACTATATAACTGCAAATTTTGGGATGTGTAGGTTGGAAAATAAAAAAGTTGTAATGTCTTGAAAAAAGTGGCGTTTTTGGCCCATCCTGTATATAGCCTTTTTTATACTAGAATCTGATTATTTATGGGATTGATAGATGTCAGTACAGGCTGATTTAACATATCCTAAATAATTGATTTTGAAAATTTTTATTCAAGTTCATTGCTTTGCAATAAGCTTGCTGAGGGGAACAGATATTCAAATGCATTCAGTTTATTTAATTCATGCTTCTTCCACGTTTAAAAATAAAAGTACACGAGGATGGTCACTGTAAAATATTAGACATAAATTTTTGGGATAATATATAATTAACATGGTCAATTGATAAAGGCATATTATGATTCTTGAATTACAACAAAGTGATGCACCAAGGGCGGTTCTCAATCCATTTTACATATCCATCTCCCTTTGCAGTTGTCTCTTAACTTAGTGTTGCTAAAAATGTGAGGACTAGCAGTTGTACTTTGTATTTTTGCAGTGAATCAGAATACGCTGAAAATCAAAATGCATTAATGTCAGGAATGTGAATGGTGACTTTAAGGAGCAGCCACTCGACAGGGTAATCGATCAGTATTTATTTACTTCTTGAGAGATTAAATCAATACAACAATAAAAAACAAAAGCTGTTTGTACAAGGAACGACATCATATTTTGTTTGACTTGTGTCTGTGCTTGTTAGCATATTCATCCTTTTTGGGGTATTCTAATATTATTGTTTGTTAAAAGATCTATGTTTCTGTTGTTGTTTAAAGGGGCAATAAAGACTGTAGAGAAAATAGGAAAGTTTTTTCATTTTTTCTGAGCTTTCAAGGCAACATTTGGTTTAACATCTTCTTTGACATACCTATTTTCTTAAAATGTATGGATAAATTATCAATTTCAGCATTAAGAAGTGTAAATTCAGTTCAAAACTTCAAAAAGGGGACTTCCACTTTTATATTTTTAAGATCCACCATGTTTCAAGAGGAATATCAGCTAAAATAATGTTAATCTAGGGGGTTTCTTTGTAGATAATAAAAATAGACGTTAGTCTTGATGAAATATACAAACTTAAATATATTTTGACACTGGTCCATGATCGTTGAATGACCCCTCTGCACTAATTATTGCACCTTTAAGGAAAGAAGGCTAGGGAGATCTGGAAAACTGAATAATAGCATAATTCAATATCTACGCATGCAAAACAATGATAAATTGTTGTATTATTGCGTCCATGATTCAACACTATGATGTTGTGAAAGGGACAAAATGAATTTTGGTGCTATTTTTAGCTTATTTCTGTCAAATCAATATTTTAGGCTAGGATGTGAAATATTTGTCTGTAACAACAAAAATATTCCACAACTACAATTTCTTTGAAATGCATCTCTTACATTAAAAAGCTTCACATATCACATTCGCTAATATTAGTATGAAAAAGAGGTTGAAAAGGTTACGCAGGGCCTTAAACCATTCGAGCCTCTTCAACGTGTTTTACCGTTTAATAACCTCTGCTTTATTTGCCTCTTGTCAGTGGTAGTATTGGATAAAAGTGTGCATATATTACAACATAAATATAAAACATTAATCTTATTTTTACTTTATAAATGAATTATATATTATGAGGAGGAGAATATGGCGATAATGTGACTTTTGTGTTTAATATTACTTTGAAGTTATAACTTTGATTCTAAGAAAAACTATAGATAAATACAAGTAACGACTTCATTTTAAACGTTACGGACTATCCGGGTGTTGCTTGAAATGTAGAAAAATAATTCAGCAACGACATGGCGCGTTTTGATATATTACTACACATTCTGTTGATAATGGTGGCAACCAACTTTGCGTTTACAGTGAGCCAAGAGACAACAGGTAACGTTAGATTAAATGGTCATTTTCTTTCATTAAAAATGATGCAAAGGGGTTATTTTGTGGGAGATTTTCGATATGGGGTATATCTTGAGAGAAATATAGATATCTTACCAAGGGCCCGAGGAGTCCTTGGTCTAGGTAATATATCATAATACCCGAGGGATAAACCCCATGTTCAAAACCAACCAGCATCACATAACTAATTTAGACAAGGATTTGACTGTCCTTAATGCTTCAACGTTTTCCGTTTCTTTGCTGAAGCCCATCCACGTTTCGTGAACTTCATATCGATGAGAATGTCATAGTTTTAGTTTTGCTTCCTCGGATGTCTACATACAATTTGGCTATGTAGCAAATAGTTCCACTAATTTGACTGTTACAACAACAAAGCACATGGTAAACAATGTCGTACCTAAAACATAGAACTGTAGGCTTGATGACCCAGAAAGCAAGATTGCCGCCGAAAAGTTAGTCGGCTCATGAACTTCTTTACATGTAACATGTGTGCAAATTTGAAATAAATCCGTTAAATGGTTTTCCTGGAATCGCAATGACAAGATTTATCTAAAAACTTCCAAGATGGCCGCGAGAATGTAAGATGGCCGCTGAAAAGTGAATCCGCTCTAGAACTTCTTATCATGTAACATGTATAAACATTTGAAGTAAATCCGTCGAGTGCCTTTTCCTGGAAACGCGATGACAAAATTTATCTAAAAACGTCCAAGATGGCCGAAAGAAGGCAAGATGGCCACCGAAAAGTTAATCAGCTCTAGAACTTCTTACATGTAACATGTGTGAAAATATGAAGTTAATCCGTCAAGTGGTTTCCTGGAATCGTTGTGACAAGAACAGCCAACACTAACGAGGCACACTAACCGCCAAACGCCGTCCAAAAATAATTCGGACACTATTAACAATGTGTCACCACCACCTGTGGTGAATGGCATAAAAATTATTATGGATTGTTATTTTTGTCTCATCGCCCTATGTCATGACATTTTTTAAAAATCTTGATTCTTGATTTTTTATGGAAGTGGACATGGCGCTTCAATTCATATGAATTCGATTATTTTAAATTTTCAATAACTTCTTTACTTGAAATATCTCAATATTTTTTTCAAAAAATAAAACTAAGATTTTTAGTGAAACAACACAAGATTGCTTCCAACATTTTACTCATTCATTTTACTAATTTCATACTTCCTTTAATTATACAAATTAAAAAGTCAATGGGCAATGACTGCATGATTTATACTTAATGAATTAGAAATAAGAAACTATAGATTTGATTTAAAAGTGGCAGCAAAGAATACAGAGTTGAAAATGTGGAAAAGGCTTGATAATATGCCAAGAGATAATCTTCAGATTTACGACACCAGTGGACATATAACTGATGTAAGCGAGAATTCAAGGCTTTGAGATAATTAATGTTACTTGTACACATATTTTCAAAGTTTCAATATATATTAACATTTTTGACGAGATAGTTCTCACGCCTGAATACTCCCATGAATGCCGCAATGTACGTGTCCCAGATCATTAGAACTAGTACTGATCAATGAAGAAGGAGGGGCGTTCACTTTTAAAATATTATTCCTAGATCAAGAGAATTGTTATGAAATAAAGTTATTTGTATTCAAAACAATTTTGCAGTTACCGAAAGTGTCATCACACAAATTTCTACAAATGAAACAACTACCTCTGTCGTTGAAACAGATGAACCTGCGACAGAATCAGATGACATTACAACTGGCAGTGGTGATGAACCTACGACTGACGTAGTTGAAACAGATGGGCCTACGACTGATGGAGTTGAAACAGATGATCCTACGACAGAAATAGATGACATTACAACTGAATCAGTCATAAGTGAAACATATGAACCTACGACTGATGACGTTGAAACAGATGATCCTACGACAGAATCAGATGACATTACAACTGAATTAGTTGATATTGAGACAGATGAACCTACAACTGATGTCGTTGAAACAGATGATCCTACGACAGAATCAGATGACATTACAACTGGCAGTGGTGATGAAACTACGACTGACATAGTTGATACAGATGGGCCTACGACTGATGGAGTTGAAACAGATGATCCTACGACAGAAATAGATGACATTACAACTGAATCAGTCATAAGTGAAACATATGAATCTAAGACTGATGAATTTGAAACAGATGATCTTACAACAGAATCAGATTACATAACAACTGAATCAGTCATAATTGAAACAAATGAACCTACGACTGATGAAGTTGAAACAGATGATCCTATGACAGAATCAGATGACATTACAACTGAATCAGTCATAAGTGAAACATATGAATCTAAGACTGATGAATTTGAAACAGATGATCTTACAACAGAATCAGATTACATAACAACTGAATCAGTCATATTTGAAACAAATGAACCTACGACTGATGAAGTTGAAACATATGATCCTATGACAGAATCAGATGACATTACAACTGAATCAGTCATAAGTGAAACATATGAACCTACGACTGATGAAGTTGAAACATATGATCCTATGACAGAATCAGATGACATTACAACTGAATCAGTCATAAGTGAAACAAATGAACCTACGACTGATGAAGTTGAAACATATGATCCTATGACAGAATCAGATGACATTACAACTGAATCAGTCATAAGTGAAACATATGAACCTACGACTGATGAAGTTGAAACATATGATCCTATGACAGAATCAGATGACATTACAACTGAATCAGTCATAAGTGAAACAAATGAACCTACGACTGATGAAGTTGAAACATATGATCCTATGACAGAATCAGATGACATTACAACTGAATCAGTCATAATTGAAACAAATGAACCTACGACTGATGAAGTTGAAACAGATGATCCTACGACAGAATCAGATGAGATTACAACTGAATCAGTCATAATTGAAACGGATGAACCTACGACTAATGAAGTTGAAACAGATTATCCTACAACAGAATCAGATGAGATTACAACTGAATCAGTCATAATTGAAACATATGAACCTACGACTGATGAAGTTGAAACATATGATCCTATGACAGAATCAGATGACATTACAACTGAATCAGTCATAATTGAAACAAATGAACCTACGACTAATGAAGTTGAAACAGATTATCCTACAACAGAATCAGATGAGATTACAACTGAATCAGTCATAATTGAAACATATGAACCTACGACTGATGAAGTTGAAACAGATTATCCTACAACAGAATCAGATGAGATTACAACTGAATCAGTCATAATTGAAACATATGAACCTACGACTAATGAAGTTGAAACAGATTATCCTACAACAGAATCAGATGAGATTACAACTGAATCAGTCATAATTGAAACGGATGAACCTACGACTGATGGAGTTGAAACAGATGATCCTATGACAGAAATAGATGACATTACAACTGAATCAGTCATAAGTGAAACATATGAACCTGCAACTGATGAAGTTGAAACATATGATCCTACGACAGAAACAGATGGCATTACAACTGAATCAGTCATAAGTGAAACAGATGTACCTACGACTGGTGAAGTTGTAACAGATGATCCTACGACAGAAATAGATGTCTTTACAACTGAGTCAGTTATAATTGAAACCGATGAACCATCAACTGTTATAGTTCAAACAAATGAACCGACAACTGATGGTTTGACAACAGACATAATTCATACCAATTTACCGACAACTGTCTCAATTACTACAGATGGTCCTGTTGCAACATCAGCTACAAATCCCACCCTCCCAACAACTCAGGCTCAGACAACGACGGTTGATACGTCAACCGTAAGTGACGTTGTGACAACTACAGCTGCTGCAACTTTAGGTAAGCAAATTGTATTCTCCAAATAAATAATAGTACATTTCATTAGTAAATTCTTCCTCGTTTTCTAATTGAGGGAATTGATTTTTGAATATCCCAGCAATGGCAGAAGTTATAAGTTGTAATCATATTTTGAAGCCGGAACTCAAAAACTACATACTTGCCAAATATTTTGTTGTGATTTGAAGGATAAAAGCACCCCATATCCGTTTCCAGAGTTCCTCTCCAGTGTTATAGTATTGATAAACGTATTTAGTACAAATGAGTTTATTATTTGATACTTAGCATATACATTAGTAAACGTTTTTGTATTGTTTTATTTGTGTTTTATTAAATAGGGCAACCATGATAATGATTGTTCATTTTGATTTTTCTAGTACGATACGTGGTGTTAAAATACAACAAACGACAGTACAGCTTATTAATTTATCTGTAAAGCACGGTGTATATGTATATGTAAATGAGAGTGATTGTACATGAATAACAATGCATTCTCTTGAATTTGACATTGGCTGTGTTTACCATTTGTTTGATGTTTTATGCTGCATGTAATTGGACCGAAATTCAAATAATAGGTCAAAATAAAAGTTCCTTGGGGAATTTCGGCATTCACATAGCTCTAAGATTTAGATTCGCACATAATTTGATGATATAAACTTACCCGTATTTTAGGATGATATTTCACAATGAAAAGATCCTATTCATGTAGTTTCTCATACACAGGGAGAGATATACGTTACACGGATAATACATCTATTATTCTTGTAAACAATTTAGAAATTTAATTTCTTGTATAATGTTGTCAAATATGTTACAGCAACTACTGCCCAACTGTATCCACACGGTTCTGAAGAGGGAGATACAAAGATAAGAGATGGAGACGATATAACCTCAAACGCAATTCGCATACCACGGGGACTATTTTTCGGAAACAGAAAATATCGAAACTTTTACGTAAGTGTGTCATCTATTCATTCATAAATATACTTGACATTCTCTCAATCACACTCAATATTTTCATTTTATTTTTATTTTCACAGAAAGCATATATTCACCTATTATTAATTTTAGGTGAGTACCAATGGGCTCATTAGTTTCGGAAGGTCGTATCGTAATTATTGGGCCCAGCAATTCCCCCTGGGTAGAAGGAGCACTGCAATAGTTGCCTCGTTTTGGGCTGACCATGATCCCCGACAAACATCAGCGACCTCCGGGGTGTATTACCAGACTTACAACAGAGAGGACGCAAATAACGACAAAGCCCAAAATATGCTCGATCTTGCAAGTAGAGACATATCAAAATATACAAATAATGCTGATTTTGAGGCGACTTGGATGGCTGTTGTGACGTGGAAGGAGGTCTATCCATATCCTCATTACTGCTACCAAAATGTCGATTATTACTCATGGCGGTGGTGTTATTATTGGCAGGATCGTTCTTCTACCGCGCAAAAACAGGTAAAATATATACTAGGCGTTATTGTACTCATTAACACCGTTCGTTTATGACGTTTATGAACTTGACATTACCACAGAATATAATTGATCATTTCAGTAAAAATGGTGACCTTACCCTGCAGAAATGAAGATAATGTTCCACAGCTATTTCTGAAGGCAATACAACAGCGCCCAGTCTCTAGGGAATTGATTTTACTTTTCAGGGGTGACAAATCTATACCTGGGCATAGTGTGGTTCTAAAGCCTAACCCCCCTATCACACCAAACTAGTTCTTACCCGTTCTTGCCAGTCCTACGAAAACGTCGTTAAACGGGCTCAATCTGGCTGTGGTCGGGAAATATCTCTAAAATAATTAGCTACTTCGTTCGTAAACAGTCTTCAATACGTCAATCTCATTCGCAGTTCGTTCAGGTCGTACCACGATCGGTGTGCAACGTCTTATAACGCGTCCCTTCGTCTAGAAGGTCATCATGACCTGATTACAGAACGGTATCGTCGCCATCGAATTTTGGATCGATTCAAAATTCTAGAATCACCTTCCCGTCTGAGAACGTTCATGAAGTTCGTAAATAGACCTTAGAAAGTTGCAGCTACGTTCATTCCGTTCGCACACAGTTTAAAACCAGTTTTGAAGAATGTAGTGGCAACTTGTTTGGTGTGATAGCTATATTTTTGCTAACTCGTTCATAAGCAGTCTTTAATACGTTCTTACTCAGTTTAAACCCGTTTGCAATTAGCTCTGCCTCGTTCTCAATACGTCCTCAGACAGTTCAACTCGTTGTAAAAACGTCCCTAGTATGATTGAAGTACGACGGTTCCGTTCGTAGTACGTCCAGCTCGTCGTTAGTACGTTGTCACTCGTTCTAATTGTAGAACGTGACAACCACGAGAACATTTTGAGCATGTTCTAAGTTCTAGAGGACCTACCCGTTCGAGTACGTTCGATGAAGTTTGTAAATAGACCTCAAACGGTTCGAAGTACGTCCAGTCCGTTCGTACACAGTTGAAGCCCGTTTTCGAGAACGTAGTTTGGTGTGATAGTAGGGTTAGCGAAGTAACCTCCTTTGTTTACCTTCGCCAAACCGTAAAAAAATAGAAAAGTTGTCATAACTTTTTAAAACCTCGATAATTGGAACCGATTTCACTTATCAGTTACGGTATTTTGGTTATACACAAACTGAGCATGTCAGTGTCGTTTGTCGTTTTTCTTCAAATTATATATTTCACCAGTTAGTCTTTCAACGTATTACCACGGAATGGATCATTTTACCCCCCTATTACACCAAACTAGTTCTTACCCGTTCTTGCCAGTCCTACGAAAACGTCGTAAAACGGGCTCAATCTGGCTGTGGTCGGGAAATATGTCTAAAATAATTAGCTACTTCGTTCATTAACAGTCTTCAACACATCCATCTCATTCGCAGTTCGTTCAGGTCGCACCACGTCGGTGTGCAACGTCGTATAATGCGTCCATAAGTCTAGAAGGTCATCATGACCTGATTACAGAACGGTATGGTCGCCATCGAATTTTGAATCGATTCAAAATTCTAAATCACATTCCCCGTCCAGGAAAGTCCATGAAGCTCGTAAACAGACCGTAGACCATTGTAGCTACGTTCATTCCGTTCGCACACAGTTTAAAACCAGTTTTGAAGAACGCAGTGGCAACTTGCTTGGTGTCAATCTAGAGGACCTACCCGTTCGAGGACGTTCTATGAAGTTTGTAAATAGACCCCAACCGGTTCTAAGTACATTCCGTCCGTTCGTACACAGTCAGTTGAAGCCCGTTTTCGAGAACGTAGTGAGAACTATATTGGTGTGATAGTAGGGTTAGTTCAATATTCTTTTGTATGATCCATTCCGTGGTAATACTTAGTCTTGGATTGAATTCATTCAACTGGGGAAATATTTAATTTGGAGATATTACAAACACCACTGACACGCTCAGTTTGTGTACAACTAAATCAGTACCCGTCACTGACGAGTGAAATCGGTTCCGATTATCGAGTTTTTTAAATGTTATTACAAATTTTCTAATTTCTTTATGTTTTGGCAAATGTAAACAAAAGAGGTTACTTCGCTAAGGCTTTACACTGGTGATCCGCTCGATTACGCTGGTTACCGAAACGGTTCGTTTTGGTAACAAAATGTCGGAACGTCGAAGGTACGATTCTTTTCCTTATTTCACGCGTTGTAGGCAGAATCCCAACGACATTTTTTCTCACAAACATATATCAGTATCATTTGTTTTAGAAAATGTACATGTTTGCGAAAAAACAGCTCTGAAAACGACAGAATCGCCAATTTAATTCCTCACTTAGGTTACATTAACGGTTTGGGTTAAAAGTGCAGATCTTTAAAGAGATCGGGTCTCCTAAAAACACAATTAGAGTAACCCCCTGATTTTTTCGTGTTATTTGATGTAAAACAAGTTTGTTTATCAACTTATCAATTCTGAGGCTTGAATTAATTCGTTAACTGTATCAATTCGATGATTGTTCCGAGCGATGAATTTCCACTTACATCAATAGAAATTCAAATTAGATTTAAAAAGCCCGCTCAAATTTGTTCCAGTCTGATTGGCTTTTTCCTTCAGATTATTTTGGCTTAGAGAAGCCATATTTATTGCTTCTATAAGGGGTTACAATATAGATAAATCCAACAAAACATTATATTCTGTTTTCGACTTATTGCGTTCAATTCTGACGGTTGGTTGTTCTTTTGGTTGTCCTGTTGATATCCTCAATATATTGTCGATATTGTGCTTATGATATGGTCTCAAGATATATCTAAGGTATATATGATGTTTTATGAGCAATCATATTGGGACATTACTGATTGTTCAGAATAGAAATCTGGACGACTCGATCTCTTTAACTGTTTTTCGAAAAACCGTTTATGTAACTTAAGTGAGGAATTAAATCGACGATTCTGTTGTCTTCTGAACTATTTGTTCGCAAATATGTTCATTTTGTTAAACATATGATACTGATACACGTTTGTGTTAAAAATGTCCAGGGAATTCTGCCTACAACGTGTGGAATAAGGAAAAAATATCGATGTTCCGACATTTCGTTACCAAAACGAACAGTTTCGGTAACCAGCGTAATCGAGTGGATCACCAGTGCTTTAGAACCACTCTATTTACAGGAATAGTATTGTTACCCGTGGAAAGTAAAATCAATTCCCTAGTGACTGGGCGCTGTTGCATCGCGCTAAGAAATAGCTGTGGAACATTATCACTAAAATAACTAAAAAACAAGTTTCTGTCACGAATTGTCACTGTCATGAAAACTCAGACATATTTTTAAGCAATTTTCATCAATAATAAGAATAAGACACCTATTTAGAATTTAGATACCAAAGTCACTTCCTTTTTACAATATTTACTTTTTTGGCTAACCCATATACAAACTTATCATATCTCAGGTTGTAAATCATCAAACTGTTCTGGTGACGGATGGTATCAGGACTTACTCATTATTCCATTATGGTGAGATGTCTTGGAAATGGTGGAAGAACGTCAACATCGGCTTCGACGCAGGGGATAACTTCAATTATTTCCATCACTATCTATATGGCAAGGAAGGTATCCTTGGTATAAGCCGCATGAAAGGAAACACAGGTTAGAATCAACAATATGTTTTTAAGAACACCTTTTCTTATTTAATTATAGTATGCCTTTTTGTTGTTTTTTGTCACCACAGTTTCATATCACTTGTAATATTGTACATACTATAAACGGAAACACGTTTTCATTTAAAGGGTTAATTGGTGGCTGGATCTTTCGCCTGGATTTGAATGGGGAGAATAAACCAAACTTCGGGGCAAAATGTATCAGCTGGGCGATCAAGGATATACAATCTTTATCCACAAGTCTGAGGCGAGCACAGAATGAAGTGGAGCCATGTCCATGTATGGTATGGCAGGCATGGAGAGACAGGCGTTTCCGCATGGATTGGTGGTCATATTGCGCACATCAGAGATTCCCTAGCAGACATGGACATGGGCAGGTACGTATATTTGAAATAATAAAATCGAGATTCAAATGATAAATAATTTTTGTGATAAGTGTAGCTTCGATTATATTTTGTAGATGTGCTGCTACAATAATGACTGGTGGTCCGGTTGGAGATCTTGGGGAACGTTGCTGACTGATGTTAGATACGGAGCGGGACACTTTGAACGCTATCATAACAGAAGGCACAGCAGGAAATATAAAGACAATGACAGTCTCCCCCGATATTACTGCTGCGAGGCTTCAGACTACTGCCCCTTATTCACTTCTATTAGACCCGTGGATACCTGTCGAAACTATAGACCACCACGTTGGAGTAAGTCATTTATCTTAACATTTGTGTGTGCATGGTGAATTTGAAGTCATGATGGTGACATGACATTATTTGACATGACATGGCATGACATAACAAATATATAATATTGACTGATAAAACCCTCCTGTGGGTTCTTGAGTGGCCAAATACAAATCTCTCCTTCATATTTTTAGCATGGTTCTGGGGTGATCCCCACGTCCGTACATTAGACGGCAAGACGTATACATTCAATGGTTTTGGAGAGTATACACTGATCCAGACAACGGATGATTATTTCACTCTCCAGGGCAGGACATCCAGGGCTGTCACATCAAACGGGACTATCACTAAAGCTACTGTATTCACTGCATTTGCTGCAAAGGATGAACTCTCCGATAAGCTATATGTACAACTGGCTGACAATCTGAACGGTGGGTACATATTCAACGTAATGGCTTAATAGCATTAAAGACTTGGTATAACCTATTTAAGTACATGTATTCCAAATATAAACACATGCCAATCCTATTTCAGATATGATTGTACGGGTAAACGGTGTTGATGTCACAAGTGCTGTTGAAGAACTAGCAAATGAAGAACCGCCAGATACACTTGAGAAAACAGGACTCAGTGTTAGCCTTGACACTCAAGATAATGTAATAACCACTGCCTTTGCTAGTGGTAAGTTATGTCCCAAGTGTCATACGATATTTCAAAGCATTAATAAAAGTGGCGAACTTCTTCATATAGAACATTCTTTGAAGTTGTGCTTTATGTTGCTCATTTCCCGACTGTGATCGCCTGATTTAAGTCTAGTGCCTGATGTTGCCCATATTTGGGTAAAGTTATGTGAAGTACAGAGCCTCAAGAAGAATGAATGAAAAATGAATACACTCGTGAAAAATCAATGAAGATTTCGCTGCAGTCTTTTCACAAAAGGTGTTTTTCAATTTGAAATTTTAAAGAACACTACAGCACCAGTCCTGTTACTTTTGGACCGACCTGTATTTTAGAAAAAATATCTGTTTGAGTCCAAAAGGAAAATCTTTGTGGAACATTTCATTGATTTCCTTGTTATAACTTCTATAAAGATTAAGGTTGATCATACAGATGTTTGTCTTTCGAATCTGAAAGGAAAGTAAGCATTTCACTTATTTCTTTCTTACCTGGTGTTGAATATATTAAACCTGTTAAGTGAAATATCATTTTGAATATTGTTAACGAGTTGTGTGAACATGTGCCTGATGTTTCCCCAAATTCGAAAATAGTTGAGCGGATAACCTTATGTGAAAGTACAGAGACTATGTGTCGTGTTTAATATAGCCAAATATTAAATTACACTATCCTGTTTCAGGATTCTCTCTGAATATATCAGTTGCCGTTCGCAGTCTCTCAGTAACAGTCACTGCACCTGTGCTGACCAACACCTCGATTGTTACTGAAGGCCTCATGGGAACCATGAATGGGGATACATCTGATGACTTCACAATGCCAAACGGGACGATCCTCTCAGAAGATAGTAATGACAAGGAGATCTATAGTGGATTTGGAGAGTTGTGTATGTATTATTAAGGGTTCCCTCACACTAATTTCCATTCATCAAACATGATATTCAACCATTGTAACCAAGCACATTTCAAATAATGTCTATCTATATGTGTATTAATCCAACAATATTCTTTTACTCACTAAATATTCCTAAACAGAAAACTTTAAAAGCAAAAAACATTTTGAAGACAACTGTCAGATTTTATCAATATTTGTTATTTCCCCATAATGTATATTAATTATGTCTAAAATCTTGGATTTGACTATTTGATGAGTAGAATATTTAGAATATTTTAGTGAAACACTATACATGGACAACTTCATTGGTCTGCTGTCTTTCCAGGGAGGATAACACAAGACCAATCAATATTCTGGTACCCGAATGGATCCTCGACAGACGACTTCTCAGATGCCTCATTCGAACCTCTCTTCCTATCTGAATTCACTCAAGAACAACGAGACGCTGCTAATAAGACGTGTAGGTCAGAAATATCTTGTATGTTTGATTACTTGGCAACGGGAGATGATGACATGGCAAATGCAACGCTGTCGACCAATGTTGAAAATACAGATGCTGCAATGCAAGCAGGTATAAAATTACTAAAAGAATAGTCGGTTATATCATATTATTGTATTCACAATTAATTGTATTGTTTGAGCAAAAACGTTGTGGTCATTAAGGACAATCATACATCTAATACAGATATTGCATTATTAGTATATTTTTGCTAAAATTGTCTTAGTGTGCTTTTCTTAGAGAAGTCAATACCTCAAAGTGCGGCCAATATAAATAAATACAAAAAACAATAATTTTCAATAATTGACATATTTAATTTTTATTTTGAGCAATAAAATATATTTTTCATTCCATTTTTTACCTAACCAAGAAACTACACTTTCAAATGTTCTTTGTTTTTATTGTTCTAAAATATTGCATTTATAAATAATATGTGTGACAATGATTATAAGATCAATTTTAAAAATAGGTGAGAGCCTTGCCCACTGTATAACCAATTATAATTTTCTTCACATCCATAAACTATTGTTGAAATCGCGAAAATAATTTTTTCTTTGATTGCAGAGAATTTTGCACCTCAGCTCAGTGTTGACTTAAGTCAAAATTTCACGGTTGGATCTGCCACGAAGTTTGCTATATCTGTATCAGATAACGACAGTTCAACCATCTACGTTATACCGACTTCACCGCTCCCTGACGGGGCCATCTTCGATAACGACACCAGGACATTTTCATATACTCCCAATGACCTGACACCATTTAATTTATCGTGAGTATGCAGACATGACGCAATTGATCTAGCATGATATGATATGATATGATGAGTATTTCAACGGACTTGACACCGTTCAAATTATCATGAGTATTTCAACCTGACACCATTCAATCTATCGTGAGTATGTAGACATGGCGCCATTGCTTTATCATGAGTATTTCAATTCGGACCTGACACCATTCCATTTATTGTGAGTATTTCAACGGACTTGATACCATTTCTACAGATTAATTATAATTCAAAATGTTGAATTTATCCCAAGACAGAACAATATATTTAATCGTACTTCATTTTATTCAACAACATGAACGTGCTTAACTTGCTTCTGTAGATTTATCGCTGAAGATGATTTGGGAGCAAGATCTCCAGAGTTCAGGATTACAGTTTGGATTTGTACAAACTGTTCCAGTGGTCAAGGAGAATGTGAATTTGGCACTGAATCCGAGAATCAAACCGATTCGAGCGGTTATTTCCTGATTTCAATGTGCGATTGTTTAGTAGGCTGGGAAGGTGAGATATCTTTTTTTTCACTAACAAAATAAAAAATTTTGTCTTGCCTGTATGTAACATTTGGTTATCAAACTACTTTATCTGAAATCCTTTGGGAGATAATATTTATTCACCTATTCAGTTTTTCAGTCAAGTAAGCATTGTTGTCACATTTGAACACTTGTTTCAGAGAAAAATATTTTAAAGTCCCCATATGTCCCCATATGTCCCCCAATGTTATCAAAGTGACATATTTCAAAAAGTGATTTTTGAAGGACTTTTTGTTCTTTATAACTACCTCTTAGAGGTTACACGTATCTTTTAATAAGGGATAATTAATATCAATGCACAGCATTCATTCTCACGTGTTTTTTACCGAAGAAATTGAGAAAATCGGTGCATAAATAAGCGAGAAATGAACTCATCAATCCATGAAAATGGTTCAGAGAAAAATGCATTTCAAATATTTTGGTTCTCATAGAAACCAATGGTGCAATGATATCTGAAACATAATATATTCTACCTTTTAACCTGGCTCTAGACACTCAACAATGGTTTATTTTTGAAGTTAAGCATATTAAGAAAAGACTTACATAGAAAAAAATCATTTTTTTCAAAACTCTATTTTGCCAACTGAGTGAGTCATCGATGACATCACTCACTTTGCAAAATATTTTTGATATGCTTAAGCATTGAAGTGGCACATTAGATATGGCATTTTATTATTGAAAAAGTGTGTCTATTGTCAAATCTTTGCATAAGTCATCACAAATAGTAAATGAATGATAAAAACATATTTTCAAACATTACACGGGGACTTTAAAGGACTAAAAGAGATGGAGATGAGTAAAGAGTTTCGAAAACATCATTTGTTGATATCGTTTTGCTTGTTCTATTGAAGCAAATTTTCAGGACCATTTCTTGATAGTTTCGAAAACATAATTTATAGATATCGTTATGCTTGTTCTATTGAAGCAGATTTTAAGGACAATTTCTTGATTTTCATGGTTATCAATCAAAAATATGGAAAGGAGAGTTTTCTTTTTTTAATAGGCTAGATGCTAATGAAAATAACATTTTTTGTCATTTCAATGATAACATTTATCATTAACGAAGTCAAAAAGATGGAAAATACATTAAATTATTCAACATGTTTTAGAAAATAAAAAAGAAGTATTTTTGGAAGAGAAAATGATATTAATATATTTTATGAGAAGGTTGGTTATGAATATGAATTCAATTTGTGTAAATAGTAAATTTGAGACATTGGTTATTGCCTTGATCTTAGTTTACAGTAAATGCACAGATACAATGGGGCAAACAATTACTAAAACGTAATAAATAAACATTTTACTGTCGTGGCTGAAATGTCATAAATTGCGCAATCCAATAAACATAAATATTCATATAGAATATAAGTAGCAGACATTAAAGTATCATATAGTATTTATGAATAACGACATTAAAGTGTCATAAAGTATTAATGAAGGACCTCCTAGAGATAGGGCTTAATATATAGAGGTTATTTACATGGAGGGATTCACTATGGGTTTTATTCCAAGGGACAATATGATATTTCCCGAGGGCCCAGATGGCCAGAGGAAAATATCATATTATCACGTGGAATAAACACATATTTAATCCCGACCAGTAAATAAGCTTTTTATCTAATGATATGCATGACTCTCTTCATAAAATCATTAGTTCAAAATCCAAATATGATTTTTGTATGAAATAAAACCAGACTATATATTATTAGTCAAGAAAATATGATTTAACTTTATGAAATATAAAAATTCTATTGCACGAGCTTTGGAGGTGAATACGATTTTCGTG